GGCCCAGGTACTGGCGTGCCCAGAATTCTGACCTTACGTTCCACATTCCCACGTTGTCCAGCGCCACGTATATTGCCGTCCATGACTTGGGATACACCTGCCAGTGCCCATTAACCCCTTCCTCCATTAACAACCTTCCATTTTCAATTCATACACATAAAAACTCGAGCTTTATCTTACCTGAGTGGTACAACGTGCGATTGCGTCTCGTAGGTTGTATTGGTTTCTGCTGTTCGATGTCCATTGCCCACCATCCATCCTGAATTTTCACAAACTTCCTCAGGAAAAAGGAGCCAGAAGAAGATGACATTACTGCAGAAAGCGATCGAGGTTAATGGTTCTTACCCAACGACAAAGAAGGAGTAGCCATCGAGGTGCCAACTCTGGATGAGATCTTCGTTGTTCTGGAACACGATTTCAACGTAAGCTCTGTAGTCAGCACCCATTACCGAGGTGTCCTGGTAGATTCCTCCACCGGTTGGCCAGTCGGAGATGCTTCCGACGCGGAAAACTCCTCCGATTTTGAAGAAGTCGGCGACCTTCAGGGGAGTATCCGCCGGAATAAACGACACGCTGTTGACGGCGTATCTTTGCTTCCCGTTGACAAACCCGGCTGAGTTCGACAGTACGATGGTTTTGGTCGTGTTGATGAGACCGTAGTGATAGGACCCTTGTGGGTTCGGCCGAGGCCCACTGGCTGTAAGATTGGTCCTGCATTCATGGAGACCCTCCAGATTATTAACTTGACGAAATTGAATGTATAAAGAAAATTTTGAAGTACAAATGGGTCTTTTCCCTAGATTAAACATAACATGATCTATTAACTTTAAACTTTTTGGATTTCTATTATTAACAAGCCTGCTATTATATTTAGAGTAAAATTTGGGGGTTACCTGATGGCTCGAGCTTGGTTAAGGGACCAATCAATTTGGATGGTTGGGCCACCAGGAGGAGGGCCTTGGACCGAGCCGGCAGAGTTGGCATAGCGGAGAATGGCGGTGGTGGTAAGAATCGGGGTGGTGAAGCGAGAGGAAACGACGACGTAGAAGTCCTGAGCGGGCTGATCCGCCGTGACGAGAACGGAATAAAATTGGCCGACATGAATGTCAAGGGAAGAGAATTCGGTTTGGAGGGTGTGGGTTCCTTCAACTTCAACCACCTTCAATCTGTGGCCTTGAATTCGGAAGTTGAGAGAGTTTTGGAGCCCCACGTTTGAGATCCTGAGCCTGTACGTTTTTCCTAGTAACGAACATACAGACAACGAATAATCAGAGCTGCCTTGTTGTGGCTTTTCCGGAATAGCGTTTTTATAATAGACGAAACAGAAGTCAATCTCATTCTCAATGACTTTTTTCACTAAAATAGAATTACGTAGAGCTCTTTAGTACCTTGTTCTACATTGAAAGGGGCAGTTCTATTGGGCCCGCGACCATTGATGAGGATACCGTCGGGGAGTGGAAGCATAGTACCATTGTCTAGTTGGGCCCTCAACGTCTGCAAACACAAAGCCAAAAAAAGATGATAAAAGTGACCAAATCTTAGGGGAAAAAAATACTTCTATAACATAATGCTCTAATCTATATTTAGTTATGTAGAAGATTCTCTTTCTACATTCTGGTATGGACATATCGTGCATCTTTCTTCTTTACTTGAGATGGAAGAACCATCTTAAGAACGAATAGATTTTAATAGTTTATCACGTTCCCAATCCTAGTAATAATGCCCCTCTTACTAAAAGTAGGTAATAAGCAAAAAAGAGAGAGAATAAGCAGGAATGAAATGAAAACCTTTCAATCCCCTTCATTCTCAGCTGGATTATTTGAAGAAAGGGTAGGTGTGACAATCATGTATAAACAGCTTATTATAAGGCAAAATTTTCGAACACTATTAAAAAGAAGCAATACTTCCCTAATCAGGCAGCAGCATAAACTAAATATTTTTGCAGCTATTTTTTTATTTTTTTGTGAAGAAAAGAAAATACATCTTCTCTCGGCACTCCCCTTTAATTTACTTGTTAAAAGTAACCTCAAACTCACACTATGAGTAGCAAGTTTTGGTAAAGATAAAAAGAAAGAGGAACAACCCATCTAAACCAAAGATAAACTTTTAAAAATGATGAAAGATTTACAAACTAGAACAATAAATTAAATGATTATGTAGGTGAATATAACTGTCCTAAAAGGTTCTCTGTTTTCCAGTATTGGGGAGTTTCAGAGGGTTAAACTAATGAGGATCCAAAGTTCGGAAGAAAGCGCGTTTGGGTAACGCCTTGGATTCAGTGCCAAAAGCGGAGATGTAGGGGCGCTTTCGTTGGCTGGCTGGATTGGATACAGCCCAACAATACAAATTAGCTTTTATATCAATAGACGCACATGCCAACAAATCAATTGGTTTCAGCTTATGATTCTCACAGTGACCAACAACAGCCATGGCCCGCGACACGAACACCCATTAAAGAAAGAAAAAGTCCCTTTAAGTAATCCAGCTGTTAATCCCAGTAAAGAGGGAGAGAGAGAGAAGGAAAAAGGAGATGAAGAGTCAAAGATTACAGGTCAGTGAGGCAGTGAAGCAAGCAACGGTCTACCGACAGAGGTTGAAGAAAAGTCAAGCTGAAAAGTGATACCCTATTCCCCGCCAATCTAGCTCATCCCGTGACTAATATTCAAATTCTTTCACCTCATTTCACATCTTCTAATGATTAATTTTGAGAATGATGTTGAAGGAAAAAACGGGAATATCAGTGATTAGTGATTAAGTACCGTATGATTAGCTTGGTACCAGTCACCGATGAGGACGGTGTAATCGCCGGCGGGATCCGGGAAGGGGACGGGAATCCGGGGGCGGCTGAGAATCCTGATCCCACCGAAACCACCGGCGGCCTTGTGGAAACCGAGAGAAGGGAAGTAGTAGAAGCTTCCGATCTGATCTTTCACCTGGAGAATGTAAGTGAAATTCTTCCCCGGAGGAATTGGGCATGTTGTTCCGTACACACCGTCTTCGTACGAGTTCCTTCTCTGCTGAATCCCATTCCTGAGCTCACAGTTCAGACCATCACCAGTTTTCAGTAAAACTTCCAATTCAAACCAGATTCAATCGATTAATTTTCAGGCATTGTCCTAAAAACTTCCTCAACTATCTAAACAGTCAAACCAGATCCAAGCCCTAAATTTAGAGGTATAAAAAAACAAGAGACAGAGAGATGTAATCAATGCCAACCAACTTCCAAAAAAAAACTCCATAAGTCCTTTTTGTTTCTTCTTAAGATTTATACTCCCAAGTCGTCTTTAGAAATTACAGAACAATTCAAAGCACATTTTCAGCGTCGGGGCTGAAAATGGAGATTTCGAAGGTGAGAGAGAGAGGTCAATTACCAGGAGAGGAGGAAGGGCTCGTCCAGGCTATTGAAGACATTGATAATGAGATTATCGTTGGTAACGGAGTGAATATCGGGGCCAGGAAATTGGCCATTAATGAGAATACCCTGAGACAGAGCAGATTCAGATCCATAAGCGAAGAGGAAGCAAGAACTCAATGAGTTGAAATTGAATCGAAAAGCTAACCTGTTGGGGGAGGCCGAGGGGGTAAATGGTGCCATAGGTGACGTTCCAGTTGAAGAATCTGTAAGGATCGTCGGCGGCAACAATGGCGAAGAAGGAGACGCAGAGGCAGAGGAGAGGGGCTGAAGCAATGGCCATGGCCGGAAAGGGAGGCAATTGCGAAGAGAGAGAAATGGGGGATGGAGGAGTGAGAGAAGAGCGCGTTTTTATGCTTAAGCGCGCTGCGCAGAGAGTAGGTGGTGAACGTACAAAGCCAGAGGAGGGAAACTGGGAGTGAAAGTGACGTACTCTCACCATGGAATTTTAAACATTCAATGTAAAATTCAATTTACAGAAAATAAATATTTGGAGACATTAGAATCACGACATTATTGTATTAGATTTATGAGACACAAAATTATTATTAGGCATAATATTGAATGTTTAGAGATATATTAAATAACTCATAAAATTTTAGAAATTTATTAAACCAATCCTCAAATTTCAAACATCATACTTATAATTAACTGAAAATAAATTTAGTTCGAATAAAGTTACTTAAACTTCAAAATTTAATGTTTTGGTGTTTTTCAATTTAGTACCTTATATTTTTAATATTTTTCAATAGTTTTTTTTCTCGCCGGCAAATACTAAAACTAGCAGTTGATGAGTGGAAGAATAATTGTTAGAAGAAAAATATGCTAACATGAACATAGATTAACGATTAAGACATATGGTTTATTATTTAGAGGTCAGATTTCCAATCTATCTTCTATGTTATACTAAAAAAATCTGAGTCTAATTTTTTTTTCTTAGGAATTTGAAGGAAAAATTAGAAATCTTGTACTAGTCTAATTCTTCTTCTAAATTTCATCACAGTCCCCATTTACTATTCAATTTGGAAAGGAGTCTTTATCAAAGAAAAAGAAAAGAAAAAAAAAAGTCAATTAGCAACCATTAATATGATAATTAAAGATCTAATAGCTAAATTTCAATTTAAAAATTTTAGGCTAGTGCAATTCTGGCTTATATGTATGAACAGAGGCAACATATTTGAATTCTTGAAGCAATAGTATCGCTGGAGAAAACTTTCTTAATATAACGTTTTATTTATTCAAAATTAGCCTTAATTTTGCCCATGGTTAACTTAACAAACGAGTTTTATTTTAAAAAGTTTCTAATATATTATTAAACTTTTAATTTTATGCTTAATAAGTATTTATCTTTAATTTTGTTGGTGATAGGCTGGCTGGCTTGGGATCTCAAGGAATTTCTGAACATATTTTTAGAGATCCAAAATCCTGTTATAAATTTATTTACTACTATTAATTTATTTATATATTATTGGTACTTTTTTTCTTGCAAATTATAATTAGTTATGTTGATAATTTCATTTGAAGCATATGGAGGTTTTAGAAAATATATCATGTTCATATGCTAGAATAATGATATTTTTAGAAGTATGCCTCACTTATGATTTTGGTTACTAATTACTGAAAACATATATTACATATTACATATTTCATAAATTTGTGTTTTTATTTGAAATTATTGCAACATAATTAAATGTAATTACCATATATATAAATATATAGAAGATTTTATTTATGACTTTGTGAAACATGTCAAATGCAATAACACATTTTTATAAAAAGATTGATTTAAGAGTAGAAGTCTATAATAGGGGCTGTGCGGATTGAAAGATTTCTTAAAGCTATGATTGGATGACTTTTCAATTTTCAATTTAGTTTCATTGCATTAATAGAATTAATTATCCATTAGGATGTTCAAAAGATCCGACGATCCAAAAAATCGATGTCCAATCCAAACCATAGAGTTTAGATTGGTGTATAAATTTGTTCGAGTTTTAGTGAGTTCAAATGAATAAAAATTCAATAAGTAAGTTGGTTTAAGGACTTAGCTAAAATAAATTTAGGTTGAATTAAATTAATCCGAACTTATTATTATTTTTTAAATCATTTCTTTTACTTACCAAAAAAATTAATATGGGATATATTTATTTTTTTATTTTATTTAATAATTATTTATGGATTATTTATTCTATGACAATTTTTAAAAGTAAAACTTTAACTTTTTAATAGGTGTACTTTTTAATCATATAAATAAACATTGACTTATCTATTATGATTAAATATTAAAAAATATATAAATAAATGTTTAAGATATTAGATTTTTTTTTTTGTTACACAATGTTTTAAATGAGTGACTCGAATGATCCGAACCAACTCAACCCAAATATTTCATGGTTGGGTTAATTGAGTTCATTATTTAATAATGGTTGTTTGGATCGAATAAATTTATAACACGAACAATTAGGCTGGAGTTAATTTTTAAATCTAATGTACCTCAACTCAACCCAGCAAACATCTCTTCTATACACCATATGCGTGATTTTGGTGTGAAGAGTGACCTTTTTTATTCTAAAAATCAAGTCATCAAACACACTAAATAAAAGAAGAAAAAATCCATTAACAATAATTCAAACATGTTTTTATTGAATTTTTATTCTAAAAAATTGAAAGCTATTTTAAAATGGTTCGAATTCGAAGGGTTCCAAAATTGTCTTCAAAATAGGTTTTTTTTTTCCTTCTCTCTAATGACAAGATTAAAACATTATTTGGATAACTTTTCTTTCTTTTCATATTCCTAGTGTTTCTTAATATATAATTTTGTTAAGTGATTTCAAGGTAACTAAATGATATTAACGTAACAGAACTTCCAATAGTAAAATCTAAAAATTAGTTTGAAAATAAAAACATAAAATTACTTTTGGAAATAGTTTCCAAACTATTACCAAGAGGATCGGAGAGTAGTTTTGTTAAATAACTTTATGTTTTTTGAATAAAAATGTAATAAAAATAGTTAAAGGTTGTATGCTTCTATTTTCTTTTATTTTTTTTAATTCGACCAGATGAAGAATCAAAACATCAACTTTTACGATGGTAATAAGTAATTATTCGTTAAACTACGTTTGATTAACTATTTAGTTTTAGTTTGTTTTCATTCGATTTTTTTTTAGGAATAATAGACTACAAAGGACAAACAAAATTTTGGGACCCCCTATCTCATATGAACAATTGACAAAAATTAATTTTGAGAGATGAAGAGAGAAACAAAAAAGTTCAAGGCAATAAACCTAGGTTGTTTGTTTTTTTAATAGATTTCTTACATTTGAGGATGAAAATTAACTTCCTTCGGTGTCTTTTTCATTATTGTTCCACTAATTTCCATATAGATCCACACTTTGAATCAACTTCACCATTCCACAAATTTTCTCCCATGAACTACACAAATCTTTTTTTTATTGATTTCTCCTTCTTTTTACTTTTCTAGTATTTTAATTTAAGAGGTTTCTGGTTTTTACCGATGTATGACTTTTCTCACAATACATGTAGTTTCCYGTGTMATCTTAGTCAAACTCTATCTCCTAAATCTATTTCCCCTCTCTAATTGAGACAATTTTGAATGTGATTAACACCCTTTAACTAGTCTAAAGTACGCCCACATGTAACTTTTATTTTTCAACTACTTATGGCCACATTATATTTTGTCTTCATATTAATTGGGAAGCTAATGAAGTTGTTTTGAAACAATTTAAAAGTTTTGAAATTTTAGAAAAATAAGGACAGGGATATAATTGAAACATGTCATATAAGCCACATGTACTACTATTTTACAAGTCACTGCCATCTTACTTTCTTCATTTTAATAGAAAAGTTGACGGAAAAGTAATTTTAAAATAAATTTAAAGTTTAAGAGTAAAATTGAAACTTGYCACGTATGTCACATGTACCACTATTATTTTATAAGTGATTGCCACCACATTAATTTTTAACAGAAAAATTGACGAGATGGTAATTTTGAAACAAATTTAAATTTTAAGAATAAAAATTTTTAAAATTTTTAAAATTTAAAGGTATTATTGAAACCTACCATAAAGTTGAGAGGTATTTTATATAATTTAACATTTAAAAAACAACCAGCAAAGATATAAAAATAAAATTTAAAAAATTACAATTTTATTTTATTTTTTTCCACTTTTTTAAAAAACAAATCCAAAAGTGTTGAAAATCTAAGCATAATCAAGTTATTATTTATTTTTTTTTAGTTTAATAATATAGGTTGAGAATTCAAACTTTTAACATTTTGATTGAGATAGCCTCTTTGACTAGTAGAGTTATATTGAGTTGGAAATATAGGTAAGATTTTAATTTCCGTTCCATCACATAACCCACCCTTTGGTCGCATGTTTTCCATCAATTTGCATACAAAACAAGTCCTATTTAGTATTTATAAACTAAATTGAACCACTCTCAAAATGGTTTTAGTATTTATAAACTAAATTGAACCACTCTCAAAATGGTTTACTTGCTTAAGCTTTAATCATATTTGAATTTGAATTTGGATCGAGCCTATTTATAATCAATAGGTTCCAAAATTCCTAAAACAAAACTAAAAAATAAATGTTATTTATTTTTCAGACCTAAATATGCATATAAATAACTCCCGAAGTAAACACTCTCATCCATCTTTCTTTCTTTCTTTCTTTCTTTCTTTCTTTTTTTCTTTTTCTTTTTCATCCCAAAAAAGACTAAATCCTAATTTGTCCATTTTTTTTTCTGCAGAATCTATACCCTCTGATTTACAATGTAATATGTTTTTTTTTTCCTTTTTCTTATTGATTTTTTTAAAAGAGAAATATTATGTTGCGTCGGTGCGTGGGGTTGGAATATTTGGCATACAATATACAACTTTGAAAAATAAATATGTGTTTTATGTCTCTCACATGGGATGCCATTGGCGCTTACCATAACTAAGCACGTGATCAGATTCAACACCTTGGGCCACTCTCTAGATTTTATATTATAAATATTTTATTTCATCTTTAATATAGCATTTACGATTGATATCCTTTGAGATAGGACTTTTAAGTTGTACCACATCGAGATGTGCTCTCTCCGATCCTAGGATAGGTGCTCATCCAATCTCTAAGTATGACTCATCTATCGCATTTAGAGATCGTTAAATATCTAATATACACCAATAACGCAAAGTCAGCTTGTTAGTGATTTTAACTTATTTGATTGTTAAATATGTTTGTGAGGTATGTTTATTGTATAAATACTTTATAAATCACAACATTCTCGCATTCTCATAGTCTAAATATATCACAAATCATAATGCTTTGAACTATTTTTTGAAATCAAAGACTACCCCCACACGTAAATAAATAAATAAGTATATACATATACATATATTTATATTTCTCATGCTGTTGAGACTATAATATATATATTTAGCCAAAATATAATGAACAAAAACACTATTAATTATAATAAAAAAGTCACATCATGATTTAAAGACAATGTTATATATTTTGATCTACTAATTCTTAAACTTACTATCGGATTTTTTTTTTCTTAATTTAGGGGATTAAAGGGTAAATTTTGAAACTTCAAATCAAATAGAATCATATAATACAACTTTAAAGATTAAAGAAGGTAACTTATCCAATATGTTTATTTTTAGTTGACAACTTATCCTATAGGTTAGTACTAAATTACTGACACCTTGTAGTTTAAAAAATAGATCAAAATAAAAGCTGATCACATAATTTACTATTTTAATTAAAAATAAATAAATTTAAATTCAAGTCAACATAATACTATTATTAAACTTATAAAAGACGGAATGGGTTAAATTAACAATTTAGTTTTTATGGCTTGGTTTGAGTTTARTATTTCAACGTGGTCTTTATAGTTTTATAAATTCTCGGTTTCATCAAATCTCACAAATTATCTATGATTTGAGTACAATTTGTAATTTGATTAAATTTAAACTTTTAAAACCATAAAAGAATCA